GGTCAACCATTCGATATCAGAATAGCTTACTACCTTTAACAATTATCACACAAACCATTTACTGTGTCTTCCTGTCTGGACTCAGCTGTAGCAATGGTCAACCATTCGATAACATATCATGGGATTATAACTTATACCAAACACACGTACATATACATGTGTGTATGGATTCAAAAAGTTTCTCCTCAAAAACCAGTACTAATTTAAAGTTCCTGCAATATAAAGAAATGATCCTGAATCTTTCCTTTAATATATTTTAAAGCGTCTTATAAATGAACAGGTATTAACGTTGTATTGTATACCTTAAGGTGACAAAACGGAATGTAGGTTCAAATTCCAATAATTATCTTCACGTGAAACATTCAAATGATAAATTTGCATTTCTAACTTCCAAGACATGTACATTTTAATTCAGTGATGTTTTTATGATAATGTTCAAGGATAGAACTTTGTACAAGGAAATACACTGAAGCATACAAAGCCTTATTTCTCAGCAATTCTGTTGGTAAATAGATAATGCAGTAAGTCCAGAATACCAACATATAGTCTCCCCTTTAGAGAGACACTGAAATACACACATATTTTGTTATCTATAAATGAGCCCTTAGGATGCTGACATTTGATACAACCGAATTCCTAGTCATAGACAGCATGACACTTTATACATACAGTACCTTGAAGAATATATATATATATATCAATTTTAGTTGAAATTGTAGAAAAACAAATATAAAATAAGTCTGCTGCTGCGTAAAAATACAACAAAATGAAAATATGCATGCTTTTTGCCTTTTTTGCGGGGTGGGGGTTGTAAAGATAATATTTGAAATCATACATAAAGAAACAGAAAGGATTATGTTTAAATCAAAATTCAGTCCCCTGTTAAGCCATAGTTAAAGGCATCCTGAATATCCATTTGTCATTTAACTGTTGAAGTAAACTTATCTTTTTTTCTCTTTAAAAATTAATTTTCCCCGTTACAAAGGTTAATGAATTGATCTTTCTATGGCTTTGTATATCTCTGGCCCTGGAAATTTCCTTTAAGGACTAAAATATCATAGGTATGCAGTAGGCTGTGTAGTTAAACAAATATACATTTGTATTCAGATTGTTTTAATCATTTGGATTTCGCTGTCATGTTAATTAACATCACATGTTAATTATTATCATATTTTTATTTTACCCTTAACTGATTGTTCGATCACATATCAATAAAACATGGTCTTTCCTTTGGGTTACCCCTAGCTACACTTCCTCTCTCATTCTATAGTTTTATTGTCTTTTCCTTTGGGTTACCCCTAGCTACACTTCCTCTCTCATTCTATAGTTTTATTGTCTTTTCCTTTGGGTTACCCCTAGTTACACTTCCTCTCTCATTCTATAGTTTTATTGTCTTTTCCTTTGGGTTACCCCTAGCTACACTTCCTCTCTCATTCTATAGTTTTATTGTCTTTTCCTTTGGGTTACCCCTAGTTACACTTCCTCTCTCATTCTATAGTTTTATTGTCTTTCCTTTGGGTTACCCCTAGTTACACTTCCTCTCTTATTCTATAGTTTTATTGTCTTTTCCTTTGGGTTACCCCTAGTTACACTTCCTCTCTTATTCTATAGTTTTATTGTCTTTTCCTTTGGGTTACCCCTAGTTACACTTCCTCTCTTATGCTATGTGTTTAGAGAAGTATGTAAGGTTATAAAGAGAAAGAAGTGAAATAGTTTTGTTTTCAGTACGTCAAGTCAACTATAGAATAGAGAGTAGTTCCCTAAATCACCACAGTGATATTTCACTTCAAAAAATTATGTTGGTAACTTCAGGTAAATAGACAATAAAATAAAATCTTATTGCATTTCAAACATCAAATGGGTATGCAATAACACAGAAACTTTACATTAAGTTATATGTTGACTGTACATCTATCATACAAATATATTTTCTTTACAATCTGATGTATATTGATTACAGTCAAACAAAGACAGCATCCAGTGATCAATTGTTAGCACTTTCATTTGACTCCTACACTAGAATCAGTCATTTTGATCCACAATTTACACGAGATGACTATCCAGAAGGAACCAATGTAAAGTCCAAATACTTAATTGATACAGGAATGTGATGCCTGATTGGATTCTCTATCTGATGTCTAATCCATACATGTTATTGCAACTTAATCCTATGAACTAGAAATCTCCATGTTTATTTTATCACATACCCATCATTTAATCATATTCAAGATTTGATCTGTATTACATTGTAATCAAACTTTCTCGTTTAGTTACAAATCTTGATTAAGAAAATGTTTAGCTGAAATAAGTACATGTGCTAAAGCCAAAATGTTAACTTGCTGAATGACCAGCCATATTGCACTACTTCCTTACTGTTAATAACTGGCAAACAGATGTCATTTCTACCACACAGAATGAAGTGTCCATACAAGCTTTTCCCCATATAACTGAAAACCATCAATGGGATGAGAATCATAGTTCCTGTTAAGTACATGTAATATACCATTGAACTCAGATCAGACAACACTTTACTGACAACTTCATATATAACATCTTCAAAAAAACAGATGTTACATCTCGGAAACAACCTTATAGATATGTCCATGCTTTTAAAAGACCCATATAATTTTTCAACATATTTCATGCAGTAATTCATAAGAAGCTTGATTTCAGACAAAATTGATTCCTATCTTTATCCTGATCACAAAAGAATTATGCCAAATGTCCAAATTTAAATTGATGATTACAAAAAACTTGTCTCAACAATCTTAAGTAGAAAAATATTTAGGTAATATTGTCATGCCATAAGTCAATGTTTAAAACACAGATTGAAAAAAGTTATTTCAAGAATCTTAATCTTAAGTAGAAAAACATTTATGTAATATATATTTTGATACAGAACTGCAAAAAAAAAAGTAAAATTTAAATAATTCTTCTATATCTATCATGGGGCCCCCTGGATTAACAAGTACATGAGTTACTTCCCTTCTTACATTAATCCTGTGTGTATTTTTTCATTTATGATTAGTAACAGAGTTCATAATTATGAGATCACAATTAAAGAAACATACAAAATTGACAGCTTAAGTTGAAGCATTAGCTTATAAATATAAACACAAAACATTAATTTGTAATATCATTGGCATCATCATTAAGTACACATATCAAACAATATCAACTCTATGGACATCCTATTTATAATCATGTATACAATGCAGATAATTAAACAATAGAAATCATGATGATAAAGCACTAATGAGTCATTATTCGCTTCATGTACATTAAAAATTCACACTATCATTAATCATTACATAGGATTACACAACAACACTAAAGAAATACCATACAAATCCCTGCACACTTTCTCCACATCAACCAATCAAGGATGAGGTGTTATAAGCAAGATAATGGCCCTTATATCTATTAAACAAAATGCTTTGGGTCATGTAAGAATTATCACTGAGCAGGTTAAAGTGGGATGAATTTTTAATAATTGTCTGCCAACAAATTAAATTGAGTTAAGCAGGTCTCTCTTCGATAAAAAAAAAAAAAATTCAGACACAATTTACTTTGATACTGTGAAAATTAATTTGAATATAAATTCATTTTACCAGAAATTCAGAATTTCTCACATTTTATGATGTTATCGAGTACAACAATGTATATTGATGGATAATACATTACCAGCTGATGTTAGTAAACAATTGGGACCTTCTATCCAATCTTTGTAGAAATAAAGGACCGAACCATTCCCTTAATTGACCTGACCTTTATATTATACCAGAATACTCACTTTATATAAACAAAATAAAAATCTTGTTCCAATTATATGATATGAGTACACACCTTCATTTGATAATCAAAACAAATAATAGGATCATTTCTTTCTGATTTAAACTATATAAATTTTATCAAAACTGACGACAAAGCTTCAAAAACATATAATACCACATTTTCAATAAGTAGAATTTAAAACTGAAAAAATGTATCAACTTATCTGAATTAAAACTAAAATGTACATTGGTATTTTGATTATTAATAACATTATTTATTGCCAAAAAAAATTTCACTTGAATTTAAATCTAAGTCCAAGATAACACATACAATAAATCAACCTAACACTATTGAAATGTCCTGAAAAGGCATGACTTATTCATGATTCACCAGAGAAATTAATAATTATTCAAAACTCATTGATATTGCACAAAAACATCTTTATAATCACTGATATCGCCCTGTTACCAAATCATTAGTAACCAATTTACTTCTCAGACAAGATCTATCCACAATCAGTTACAATATACCTACATACAAACATAGCTAAATATACGTATATGATATTAATATATAGCAAAACAAATGCATGAAAAATTCAATCAAATCCTGAAATATTGAAACTCTAGAAAAACTATCTTTCAGTCAGAAATCAAACACAGATTTAATACAAATTATCGTAGTCCAATAATATATCACAGGGATACTTAACTGTTTTCAAAATATTTACAACAGTTATCTAATTATTATGTACACACTGTAATAACTTCATTTGAATGGCAGAGAAATCAGACAACAGAAGGTATGAAATAAACATGACAACATATGTATACAAATATCACAATTTTGAATATACAGTAAGTTTTTGACTTGCGAAAACAATGTATTGATAAATATATGTACAACAGACATTTTGTTTTACTGAAATTGATCAATTTACTTTTTTTGGGGGGGTACAAATACAACACTGACATCTCAGTCGACTGACCATGATGAGTTTAGTTTATATGTACAAGTGAAACACTTACAAAATAATGTTATCAAGCAAAGTCTGGTTAGAAAATACTAATGACAATACATAATGGATGGATATCACAATTTGGGTTTTCTATAGCAATAACTGATATATATATATATAAAGGTAGAACTACATATATATATATATATATATGTATATGTATATATATATATATAATGAGTTTTATATTCACAAAATGCAAAGCACCTTTAACTATTTGTAAGAGAGATTTCCTGCTGTATATAGAAGACACCAGTATGTACTATGACTTGGTCAGATCCATTTTTCTTCTTTATTTTTTTGAAAGGTCAATAAACGAAACACAACTATTCAACAGGTATCCAGGGAGTAATTTGAAACTCTCCTTAGCTGTATCATTTTTGTTTTAATTACTCCAATTTCAAGTCATTGTAACTCTTTAAATTGCATTGCGTTTGGTATATGCTACATAAAATATCATAATTTGATGGTATCTTACCGACATTGAATGCCTATGTAGAAATGGTGGTCACAAACCTTGAGACGATTTTTCCCAATATGGAAAAGTTCATTGTGCAATTTTCTTAAATACATGTTGTCCGTAATATGAACAAAACCTATGTCTATACCAAACTCCTGTTTTCACATGTTTGCAATTCAAACAATTTAAATGAATATTTTACATTATATTAACAATGGTTAAATGATCTCCAGCATGTCACAAATTGGAAAATGTTTTGCAAATGTTTTACCTTGTATAAAAAAGACAAAGTTTCAGAATCATCCTAGATTTAATGCATGTATTTGTAAAATATAGCATGCTTAAAGAAATGGATTGATCAGGTCAAATCTACACACTGGAGCTCCCATTTATACAGAGGGTAATTAACTTGTGTTCCCTTTAATACACAGGGTCACAAAGTTGTGTTCCATCTGTAACGAAGATCAGAAGATCACAAAATCACAACCTGATATCCTGCAGTTGAAAAATTTGCTCTTCCAGAGACATCACACTGGACGACTTGTCAACATTGGGGAATGTTTGTTTGAGCGGCTGAAGGAGCAAGGCTGCATCAGTCGCAGTCGGTAGGTGGGATGAGGGGGAAGAAGTCTGTATGCTGTGGGTAACCTTAGGAATGGGTCGAACTCCAATAGGTGGGATGTCGTAATGAAAAGAACCCATTTTTAGACTAGAGGGCATCCTTATGGACTGCAGATCTTTTTCAAGGTCCTCCATTGCAAAGTCTTTGTTTGACCCAGAATCTTGTGAATCAGAGCCAGACATTTTGGCCCCATGCTCATCCCATTCCTTGTGAACATCTGCTTGGAACACTGTCTGAGAGCTGTGGATGCTAGAATCACACACAGTAGGCATTGACTTACTCTTGTTCCTATAAGTAGACATATCATCCTCACTGTCTTGTGTAGGCTGCCGAGCAAGCCGTCGTCCCTTACAGCGTGTGCTGGGGAGGTGATCCCCTTCTTTTCCACAAACTAGGCACGACATCTGTTCTAGGCCACTGTAAAGCGATGGTGACTGGAAGCTGTCACATGACTTGGAAGTGTGGTTTGGTGGAGTAGACAAAGTCTGATGGCTGGAAAGTGAAGAGGGCAGTGAATTCTGACGATTCTGTAAAGTTCCCACCATGTTCAAATGTGTTTGTTTGGTGCTACGTGGCAAGGTTTGGCTGTGAATGTCAACCAATGTATTCGCTTGCTGAAGGTCATCAGTCTCTGGAATACCCACTTTCAGATCCCCTAATAAAGGTTCCAAGGAGCTTTTGCGTGTGTGGCGAGATTTTGACTTACTTGGTGGAGGAATGAATTCCATGCTATCCTCCACCCAATTGGGATTACAACGAAAAAATTCTTTTGCAGATTCAATAGCAACTCTAAGTTCTGTTCCCAGTTCTGAGCTGTCATAAGTTTTGTCTGATATTCCAAGGCATACATTTCCATTTTTTGTTTGCTCTGTACTTGTCCCATGTAAATGGCAGAACAGTGGTAAGATGTCCCTCATCAGACAAAACTTTGCACCAGTCTCCAACTGATGAGGAATGTCACTTGCTGTGGAATAGTCCATGTAAACCACAGCATATTTAGACATGGCTAGGCCTTTAGATCGCTCTACTCTCATCTTCTCCGCTACATAGTCTACAGCCACTGCAAAATAATCTGGAATCTTTCTGCATGGATCAAATTTGAATCTCACACGTTTTTTTGTGCACCTGAGTCTTGCACCCACTGAACACAACACAATGATGTAATCTACTTCCTGTAGACGATCTACCAGCCAGTCGTCTAAACCACGCTCAAAAATTATCTGATCCTCAAATAGATCAAGATGGACGTTACAATTACAAGTCTCTATGAGGTAGCCTGCTAGTGCAGACACAACTTTCTCATGGGCCGCACAGTCATAGGCATACAGGAGTAGCACAGATGGTATCTGCTTCTGTTCAAGATCTGTAAACATCCAAAAAACAATCATAAGTGGAGAGAAATCACTGTGATTTTTAAAGTTTAGAAAAGAAATTTACCTAACAATTAAATGTCATTGTTAAGCCTAGTAGAATCAATACAAACTAATAAGTACATATGTTCTATTAAGTTTCAGTTACATATGTTATTTGAAAGCAAGAAAAATTAACATTTTTTGTTAAACATTGGAAACATCAACTTATAACTACAAGTAAGTAAAGTTTATCTTGATATCTAATAAAGATATTTATTCAGAAGTAACTAATTTAATCATTTTCTAAAAATAAATTCAGACAATCTATTTTTTATATTAATAGATATAGAATAATGTATCATGTTTGATTTCCTTGCTGTGAATATAACTTGATGTCCAACTTTATCAGTCCACTAAAGTATCTTTTGAATTTAAATCTCTGTTACAGCTGAAAGTATAAATTTGCTATAGCCTCTGTGTGCTTTGTAATGATTCTCAGTCTTATATAAGCTACATACCTAGGGTTATAGAACTGTTCAGTTCATTCTGTTCCCTTGATCCTGAAAAAAAGTGATCTGAATATGAGTGCATTTTTCTTAAAATCTACATGTGTTTTAAATTCAAAGATTTTTAACACATAAATAAAGATTAACAATGTGTGTTTATATGACAATAATTGGTTAAAAAATTAGCTAGGCAAATTCATTTCAAATATTTCTTTGTTGTGTAATATATTGTGAATGTGATCTCATGACTACACACTTTAGTTTTATAGTTTAATTTGTCACAAGAGTACTAAAAATGTCCCCAAATACTGTACCTGTGGTATAGTTCTGTGCCCGGCGTCGTTTGTAGAGGCGATAGAGAAGGGATATAACCAGTAGGAGGCCAAGGAACCCAAAAACACCACACACAGTCCCTAGGACAATCTGTACAGACTTCTGGTATTCAGAATTGTCTGGTTCCTTAACACTCACGTCATCCGCTAGAAAACAATAGTATTTGCTATAAACATGTATAGGCTCTAGTCAGACCACACGGAATGCCCTAAAATGACCCAAGTTCTACTGTGATATGATGTCACGAAATGTGCACAGCATGTGTGACATTGCAGTTCACCTGTTAACACCCTCACTACAAACACATGTAAATTTATTTCTGTTCATACCAAGTATGCAAATTGGTCACATTTCTTTTTGTTTTGGCAGCCTTGGGAGCTCTGTAAAACATCACTTTTTGAATTTCCAGTGGGACCAACTTTTATTTATGTTTTTTTTCAATATCCCCATGAATTTTCTTTTCAATAGATGCCACTCGGATTACGTATGTTTTAGTGTTATCTTTGCATAATTATCAGGCAGATTTTTCTCCGAAACTTTCTAATCAGGTTAATTTGCTAAAGATGCATTGTATATATGGGGCTTTAATCATTTGTATTTACGAAACAAAATGTCAGTATTTTTATTCAAAAAAAGAAAGAATTATTCATTAAGTAAAATGAAACAGAAATACTTCACTATATATGGCTTTCATTTAATTACATTTTCTTCATTAAATAAGAAATTTTGAATGTACCAAAATAGGTCCAATGGGCCTAAAAATCTCTCACTGTTCTGCAGTTTATCAAGAAGACTACCAGTTCATTAATAAAGTTGATTTCTGTTAACTTAAAATCACTTTCCCTAAACCTACCACTTCACAAATATCATGACCAACGGCTAATAGGTTATTGAAAAGAAGGAGATTGAAAGCTCCAACACATTAAGCCATGTGACTTTGAAAATCTGTCACAGTTATTCATTTGAACAAAATTTGTAGCCCTTCATCTCAGAATGCTCAGCAACCTCAGCTTATTGTTTATTGGCGAGAACTTGTTGCATTTTGAATATGTCAGTTAACGGTCTGTTTTTTTTAATGTAATGACTTTCTTGCCTCAGCACAATTACAGTGTTTTACCTCTAAAACTGTACAGTTGCCCTTACCTCTATGAGTCGGGAAAATCATAAAAATAGATTTTCTTTGATATTATTAACATATCACTTGTTTCTTAATTAATTAACACGAAATCAATTTTAATTACCTCCCCCTGTGTGACCACCGCCTCCACTCATTGGTAAAGTTGGTGTTGACATCCCAGTACTTTTTCCTGAGTTAGATATAAGAAAACAATTCAAGTATTTGACATCGAAATGTATGATTAATACATGAATGTATACTATGCAATATATCTCTGCAATTTTATTTATAATTGAATTATAAACTCACATTTTACTTAATTATCATGTTCACACTCCCAATTTTTTTGTCTTGTAAGAGGGAACTTTTGTTAATGTAATTTTCTATAGACAAATCAAATGCTGGTACAAGTGATTAAATTACAATATAAGTAGAAATTAAAGGGGAGTGGGATGATTGAGAGAGGAGAGGGCATTTAGATATTGTCATCATATAACAAATATAACATTAAAAAGCAAGAAATATTAAAGAAACAAGACTTTGTTCATGGTTTAGCTTACCAGTGTCATCCAAAACAGTATGCTACTGCACAATAGAAACTTCTAGCACGGTGGGAAACCATGAAAAGGCACTATCAGTAGATACCATTTTACTGGCAGACCTCTACTGAAGGGAATTACTGTCACTCCAGGTTTGATAATCCTGACTACATGACAAACTTTCTGTAAAATAAAACAAAATACAAACAAAATAAATACTGGTTTACAGAAGAATCCAAATCTCTATTAATATAAGTCATAAAAAACTATTCATCAGAACCATAACTCAAGATTTCAGTTACAAATTAATACACAATATCTTTTGTATATCATAAACTCCATGTTGGTTGGATCTTTCTTCCTGTATACCACAGGTATAATTCTAAAATAATAACATTTAGATATGAACAGTAATCCTGTAAAAAAGGAAACATGATGAACATCTAAATTAGCTGACAGTCTCATCTGTTAATATACACTCATTACTGCATAAAAAAATTCCAACAAAAGAAATTTCATTTGCTGAAAGACCAAAAAGCTTGCTAAAGAGATAAACAAGTGTATACATTCATATTGACAACTGAGACTAACACCTATTCATTTAAATCGAAAATGAAGAGTTCAACAATCAAAATAAGTTCTGTGGTGCTTTAACTTTAGAACGCAGCCCAGCTAGGGAACAAATTATGTTTCGGATGGGTGAGAAGTCAAAACTGAGAGGGTGGGAAACAGTGTCGGGGTAGTTGTAACCCCATCATCAGTATAAGACATAAGACATTTGTTCCCCAAATATCAAAACATCTAGAACCCATGTTTAGGGAAAGTGATCTGAAGTTTGCATACATTATAAAAATCATAACATTCATGTCTTTTGTCACAGGTGTGTGATTTTTTTTTTCTTAATACACTAGCACAGGTCTAGTAGCCTGCTAAAATCCACTTGTCTGGAAAAATTTTCTGTGAGCCAAAAATATTTCAACTATGTGAAATGTTAATAATTGATAACAACTCAATTAGAAAACCTCTTAAGAAAAGAAAGCTTCAATGTGCCTATATCATTAGGGAAAATATACTCATTCACTGAAAATCAAAGAAAAAAGGAGAAATCTGGATTCCGACTTTTACAACACACTTTAACATAACTGTCTATGCTTTAGCTAGCTAGCTTCTTGCAATTAAATTATAGGCTTTTGGGTATTCACAAACTTCAGTTTGTCGCCAAGATTCTTATCTCAAATAAAACTATTGATTTGACGACCAATGAATGCTATTTTGACAGTTAATATAGCCATCTGCATTAATTGTTTTTTAATATATAAAAAAAAACTTTTGCCAAGCAGGTAGGACATTACAGGGTATCAACAAAAATATTCAAACTTCAATTTCCAACAAAGCTGTTCTAGTTCATGATTAAAGAAAGCAACTATTTTGTTAAATTCTCAAGTTGTTATGATTACAAATGATCATTAACTCTTCAGTGTCTGCTGGTAGGGGTGGATGCCAAGTCTTAAGAAAGTACTAAAGTCAATATTTGGAGGTTAATTATCATGTAATATATAATAAGTGAAAAGTATGTGTAATTCTGTTGTATAAACTGTTTGGAACAATGTAAATAAATATATGTATGTCGGTGGACTGGTACAGCGGAGATGTCGTGTGTGTCAGGTGTGGGCCTGCAGGTCATTGAAACTATCGTGTCCAGAGTTAGCAACAACTGTCCAATATTAATTAAATGTTAACAGGTGGTAAACACTATGTAGTCCAAATAATAATTAAAATGTAATTAGTCGTACTGTATCACATACATCGTAATAACCTTTGGCTACTCTATTAGGAAAGTTGGACATATTTGTTCCAAGATAAGGTATTGCGATCATTATAACCATCGGGCATGATGATAATGATAGCAGCTTTATGTGAATAAAAGGCATGGTACAAGTTGTAAACAGGTAGTCTGATTCTAGAGGCCAAGCAGCATGCCAGACTCCACTCTCCTGACCATCGACCTGTCCACACGGTATGTGACCTCGCTGTCTTAGTATTAAAAATACCTGTCAAGAAGAAAAACCTGCGTTCTATGCTTGTCTCTCTACGGGCTGTGATACAGTGACAATTTTGTGGAATTTTTACACCCGTGTCAGTGATGATTGCTAATATGCTGACAGTATGCATGGCTTCAGGTCTTCAAACACCCACAGTTATAGATTTAAATTGTTGGAGACAACATGAAAACACTGATGATGTATTCATTAAAAACTGTTCATATGAGTCTACTTCTTCAACAAAATGTGGTTATATAATACAATGGACACGATTTTCTAACTTTCCTATGGTTATATAGAAAAGAACATAACGACTTCTCCAATATTTATATGATCTTAAGAAAACGATGTCCAGTAGTGGTCAACAGTCACTATAGAAACCATTCATAATTAATGAACTCTTTCGTATAAAGTCAGTCAATATCGACATCCGATATCCCTTTGAAGATGTATTGTATATGTTAGTACTGCATTATCATTTCTAATACATTTGCCGATAAATCTGATGACCAACTTGCCGACTTAATAGAAAGAATAAATACATTGAAACACAGATGTTCAAATTATGATGAAAGATCTAAATCGAGATGAATATTGTGAACGCTTGTACAAATGACAACAAAAAAGTAAACAATCGTTCTTCCTGATGGCGAGTCCTTTTGCTTCAAACTTCACTACAACCAATAGTTTTTTCAAAATATACATCTTCGATATTGGCTTCAAATGTAGTAACAATGCAGACTCCATGAAAGCCCGATTTATTTGTGATCTTACCTGCGGTTATCCGACAGATAATTCGTTCTTGTCAATTTTCACAGGTCAATAATACCAACAGGAAGTTTGCGTTAATACGCCCTCTGTCGAGGAAGCAAGGGAAGCAACTCTGCTCAGTTCAACCAATTATACAAGCGATAACTTCTCTGGTATCGAAATTTGAAAAATGTGAGGTTGTATACAATCTGCTACAGTTTACTACTACGGTTTTTAGGCAAGATAAGATTTAGGGGGATTTTGTCAATATACTATCATGCATGATTTATTTAGATAAAAAAATGCCGTGTTGATACCATCGCGGCGGACTGTAGGTTCTGATTATCTATCCCCTCCATATTTTATTTTTTAATCAGTCGCGATCGATAGTCTAAAGTCTTTCTTATATAAACACGAAATTTTAGCGACCCTTTCAGATGGGCATAACATTTTTTTCTTTTTTTTTCTTTTTTGTAAAAAGGTAAATAAGTCATCATTTGAGAAACCATTGTGAATAAACACAAGGACCATTAAGAACTCAATTTCTTAAGCAATTCAACAGTGATTTGGCACGAACGGACAATGGGTTGTGAATTCATGTCAAGTCCCTGTGAGGAGGCTTTATATTGACAAAACATTAATTTGCGGTCATACTTACAAATATACTTTTGCAGAAGGGAGATAACTTGTCCTGTCTTGTTTACGTATTCATAAACCCGGACAATCTGATATAGTTCTTTGTAACGGATCGTATAGCGAATAACTACGTAATCTGTAAACCCGTAAAACCTTATAATTATTCAGAGTTATCGGTCCATACAATTAGGTTTTTAGAAATTAGTGAATCTACTCGGAGTTCAAAAATGAAACTGAAGTTGGTTACGTCTCCTGGTGTATTCATTCCATCCGAAACATCAATGCCTTTCTTTCCGAGTTCATTACTTTATCTTATCTCTTCATCTACCATGCTGATATTCATGGGGAAATGAATGCAACAAAAGATCTACATTTGTGCTATATTACAAACAGTCTCTTCATTTTATACAGTGATATGAAGTACGACTATATTTCATGAAAATTAAATGTGAAGATATATAAGGTGAGATTACAAAATGACCTCAAAAGCAAGTACAACAGCTTGTATGTTTTAGTCTCTCTAGTCTTACGTTTACAAATAGACATTTAGGTTCAAACATGTACATACGCAAGAATATAAGCGCCCTTTTTGTGCTAAAATGGAAAAAAGTATAGTTTTTCGGGAAAATGCTACAATATAATCTCTTCATTTTCTACAGAAACTGAAGACGAACGTGCTGGTAATAACATGAATACATTGGGAACAGGAGGTAAAAATGTGATGGATCTGAGAGAGAACATGCTCTTTATGCACCAAAAGAAATTTTCTGAAGGTCAAAAATGTAACTGCCTATTGGAGTTCATTCGGAATTACGTCTTAAAAACGTCTTCATACAGTGTGAAATAAATTGCCAAAAAATGGTGATTAGGAGTTTTGTGTAAAGCAATTCAAATTGATTGATATTATTGCTATGTATCTTTTAAGGAAAAACGAGCAAAGGAGAAAATCTGTTTTGTATTGAAGTATGGTAAGATGAACTAAACAATAATAGATAAATGAAATAAAAAGTTTACACTTGGTTTATCAGTACAAAGGGATTGGCACCTGCACTAATAACCCTTTAAAGTGAAATTTCAACTTTCAAAATGGCCGACATGTTTCCTGATAATCACAAAGATTAAATGTTCTTACAACTCCTGAATCAATATTCCAACAAGAATGCTAAATGACAAATTTATGTTGTTTTACGCATTAAACCGCTTAATTCAATAAGACTTCTTCCTCCTAGAATCGGATTGGCCATGTCAGTGTTGGTCTACATCATACAGTGATGTAGATCTAATTGTCCAAGTCGACCATACCTAATGCCTTGAAGATGACAGTTGTTAACGAAATCTACATTACTTGAGGTTTGTCTTATACCTTTTGACTTTGGATGCAAAGGGTTAATGATTTCCAAATGCATGTAATATCCTAAATAGTACAGGATTCTGACTACGTAGGCACACTCCATGGTTATTTGTCCAGTAGGACACTGATAATGATAATCCTTTATGGGATTAATGGCGTCGAAACTGTCATGCCGGACCCAAACATTACACTTTACACTGCTCTTATGTTTTGAGTAGATTATATCGTACAATGTCTCGTTAGTGTCGATAGATCCAGATCCCGTAGTCACCATCATTACTGAGGTACTTACTTATGTAGCCAGCTGTCAATGAAATTTGGTACGTGCCACAGGATATTGTCCGGAGGTATCCCATGTCTAAATTTGGAACGTCACAATTATCTACAGTAGCATCTAGTTTGACAAATAGTGACTTGGCCTTTCTGGTAAGATCTGATTCATTTTTCACACGCTGAGCTACGTTGTTGTGAATAATAAGGCGCACGTTCATTTTGGCAGACAGCGCCCTATCATTTGCGTATCTCTCTTGTGTTCTAACATCAATGGGTCCTCGGATTCCATTGAGACAGGCTGTTACTATTCTAACGAGTGCCTCGATGACATCAATGAAAAAGTTGGAGGCAAGTTGTGTTTTGAAAAAACAGACATTGCTTGAATTGTCCATGATGTGACTCCACTTCCCATCTGGATTTAGCTATGGATCTATCAAGGTTAGCTTGTAGGTCGCCATGTTGAGTCTGTCCAGGTTTTGGAAAAGACGGCATATTTGTTGTCAAACCATGTGATTCCAAATCTGGCAAAACATCCCTAAGCCCTTGATCAACAACGACGTTGCCATCTTTCTCCAGCCAGGAGAGACTAACCGTGATGGCTTTTGTAATCTTAGCTCCATTATCGCTTCCAGGAAAAGGTCCTACTTTGTCCAGAATGTAACCACCAGGCAGGACTATGCCTTGAACTTCAAACAGTTCCGCTTCCTTTGGCCAAAGGAGGTTCTCTTGAGCTTGTGATCAGAACTCCTAGGAATAAAGATAGATGTGCCATCAAATGTGACAGTCATCTGCTGGCCAAGGAATGCTTCTGAGAACACGTTGTTGTGCTATAGAATATTTTCTCTTGTAAGATGTTCACGTCCAAGGAAACTGACATGTTAAAAAGAGTTGAACACTGTTTCCATGATATGTCTGTCTTCATTCTTACCCAGAACAACAGTAGTGTACCCCTTGGTCTGGAATGTAAAAACCAGTGCCAATAGAGGATGAACAATAACAAAGAAATGTTAGAAACTGTGTTCTTTTCCAACCAGTCCAGGCTTTACAATCTACATCATCCAGAGAGAAGAAACGCAGAGTAAAAGAAGACTCCTGCTTTGATACCATATGTATTATCCCCAAAAGATCATTTATGATTTCCTTTGATCTGGAAGGTAACTGAGAAATCAACATTTCTCTTTCATCAGTGTGGATTTCAACGTTAGGGGTAAGCTCTTTCCCAACGAGATGAAGTGAACAAATACGTCAGGACCATGGACACCACAGCTTGTGATGAAAAATGAGTTGGTGTTTTGCGCGCTTGGACAATATGGTCGAGTTTTCTAACTCTTCTTACAAAGTGTGCATTTTGCACTCAACTGATAACAGAGGGATGTGTTGCGACGTATCATCAGCAACACCACGGGTTTGACCTTCAGATTGTGTCCTTCTTTCCTGATAATTCTTAAAACATTTAGTATACATACCAATCTCGTGATCATCAGTACAGTTATTGCCATCTGTTTTTAAACATCAAACAACCAATTGTGCTGGGGAAGTCTTATATTTCTAGCAGATATCTCGGCTTTAATGTCTCTCCTAAAGACAACTTTACAACCCGCACCTACACATCTACCTCTTATTGTGACAACGGTACTGTATTAGGTGTTAAAAGTCTCCATCCTAGTAGAAAATGTAATACGCATTGTCAAAAGAACAATTGATGATATTGAGGTATATGATGTAATGTTGGAAGTAACAATCGGTCATATGATATATTGTATTTAACGTCATTGTTACAATTGACAGATACAATCATTCAAGGACATGTCGGAATTACTTGTATGTGTGCGGGGAGTTGTTACATATTAGGAAAGGCACATGTGTACATGAAGGTGTGTAACAGGGTGGTCTCCTATGTCCACTATCGTTCAAAAACACATTGGGGTGATACACATCAAAGCCAAAAATCAACACTTTGCACAAATGGTGAAGTTTCGATCTTTGAGCTGGGTAAGGATAAGAGATAAAGCTATCTATAGGCTAAATATATTTGAATAGACTGAATATAGAAGAGATTCTAAATGTTATTTGTTCACAAAAAACAGAATTTTTCCACTCAAAACGCTTAAGAGTCAATATTATCGGCGTATATTTACTGTTTTAATATTTTGGTATTCAGTTTATAGTTCGAAATATCATATTTCTTTAACATAATTGATTATTTTTGATCTGTGCATCAATTATTAATTTGGATTAAATATAAAGTCAGGTGAACTAACTCTGATTGCACAGAGCAATGTATCGGTAAGTGTTCTCGAAAGGTGAAAAAATCTTTAGGCCGACCTCTATGGGAAATTAGCATTGCTGTAAACCCCTCGTTTATAGAATAAGAATATTAAGATTTGGTTTTCAAAAGTTTTTCACTATGATACCATGGATTTTATAGGATTTTCACATTTGTTATTTTACTGATGAGGAGAAACTAACAACGTCAGCTTTTGACGAACTAGTTTCAGCTGAGTTTGGTAAACCTGCAATATCACATTCCAACGTCATAGAAGAGTGACGTCTTAATCGGGAGGTACAACAGATTATAGATTAAATGTATCGTCTAATATGTACCAGTTCCCTATATATTGTATGAAGTAAGTAAGTAAAACAAATTACTAGTTACTCGTAAGAAATCTTCTTTCTAAAAAAATTAATAAAGTTTATGCAAAAACAAACGACTTGACACTCGTCCTCCTAGATCCTGTCTGTCGATGTCCCTCTTGACACCCGTCCTCCTAGGTCCTGGCTGTTAGTGTCGCTCTT